TACGCTTGACCTGCATAAAAAAGTGAAAGTTGACCTCAATTGGATATAAAATTTCTTTTAAAAAATTATGGGGGATTGGATATAAATAAAATTAGTTTTGATTGGATGTATTAGTTTTTTTTTCCAACGACAAAACAATATATATTAAACTCAAATAAAGATCCACAGGCATATTCAAATGAATACAACGCGGCTAATCCTAACTAAGCATTAGGACAACACACACGGGAATAATACAAAGATTACCCCCTCGAGCGATTAACCAACCACAACAATTAAATCACACTTAAACATCAGACAAAGATATAATAAAAGTACATATTGGTATAGCATCCAAAATCAGCAAAGTTTCTTCAAGTAGTTCCTTCTCCTCCATCATACTTGATCCCCTTGTTCTTAAAGCTTATTTTGTTGTCTCCATTTCCACCAAGCAGACCACCTCATGCCAGCTCTCCGCAACACAGGCTTCCAGCAGCCATTTAGTCTTCCTCAGATCCACCATTTCCTTACTATCATGGCTAGCCACAGCTCCTCCCCACACATTGATTACTCTGCCATTTTTTTCTGCTATTCCTTGTACTGCTACCCTCCCTTCTGATGAACTCTGAGCACTGACAGAAACTATAATCTGCCCTACCCCCACAGAAAATTGCTCATCTTCAGGTTGATCCAAGCCAGCTCCTACCATCTCTTCAGGACTGTTTGTCTCCATTGAATGTGAAAACTCCCTCCAGTCCCTACTAGCTCTATCTACTACTTCCTTCTCAGACATCCACTTCTTTTCAAATACCCACATATTTCTAGTTTTCCAAAGCCACCAGAGGAGATAAGTTGAGAGACTTATTCTATCCCTAATGGCTTTGAAATCTTGAGCAATCAAAACCTCCTTCAGCCAGTTTTTGAAAGAAAGATCACCTAATTCTATTCCAGCCCATTGAACACCCAACAACTTCCAGCACATTCTTGTCTTCCTGCATTTGAAGAATAAATGCTCCAGACTCTCTTCATCTTCTCCACATCCAAGGCAAATCTCATCCACCTCAATCCCTTTTCTGCTCAACTGTTTGTTGGTGCTGATGTACCCATTCCAGCATCTCCAGAGGAAATTCTTCAGTTTATTTTGGATTGGAAGCTTCCATAGCCTTGTACACATTCTTCTCACTTGAACTGCTTGGTCACTTGATTCAGCTATACCTTTCTTAAGGTCATAGTCTCTCAGTAGCAGCTCATAACAGGATTTCACTGAGAATAATCCATCCTTTTGTCCCTGCCAAATGATTCTGTCTTTCTGTCCCCACCTAACTAGTGGGATTTTCATTATCAGCTCTGCAATAAATGGGTTAAAACTTTGTTGGACAGTATCAGCATCCCAACATTTTCTCTCAACATTAATCAAGTCACTAACTACCACTAACCTATGGCTATCCCTTTGGAATTCACACTCAGGCTTTTTACCCTCTAACCCCGGGATCCATGGGTTTTCCCAAATTTTAATGTCCTTACCATCCCCTACACTATATCCAATACCTTTACCCAACCCTCTCCTAGCATCTACCCAACTTTTCCATAACCAAGAATCCCCTGACTTTTTCTCCACCCCAAACAAATCCTGCCTACACATATACTTCCCTCTTAAAGTTTGACTCATAAGTAAGTTAGGCTTGGTAAGAACTCTCCATAACTGTTTGGCAAGAAAAGCTTGATTAAGCACTCTAAAATCCCTAAACCCCAACCCCCCTATCTCTCTAGGTTTAGCTAAAACCCCCCACTCAGCCCAATGAACCCTCTGCCCCCCATCTTCCTTTCTGCCCCACCAAAAAGCAGCAATTTCCTTGTTAATCTCCTTCCAAACTGCAATAGGGATTTTAAAACAGGACATGACATAGGTAGGGACTGCTCCCAAAATAGTCTTTATAAGGACTTCCTTGCCAGCCTCACTCAACTGTTTGTTTTTCCAATTATGCACTCTTTTTTTGACACTCTCTATAACAAAATGAAAAGTCTCCCTTTTAGATTTCCCTATACCTAGTGGAAGTCCCAGATTTTTGGAATACTTAACACAAGCAATTCCATTTAGGATCAAGCAAATCTCATCTTTAGCATCATCAGGAGTGTTTTTAGAGAAGAAAATAGAGGATTTATTCAAGTTCACCAGTTGACCAGAAGACAAACCATATTCAGCTAGCAGATTAAGAATAAGAGCAGCATGAAAACAGTCAGCTTTACAAAGAAGAAGGGCATCATCAGCAAAGAATAAGTGGGAAATAGCAGGAGAGTTCCTACTAATTCTGATTCCTCTATATTTATTGGCCAAGCAAGCTTGTTTAATCAAATTAGAAAGGGCCTCAGAAAGAAGGATAAACAGGTAAGGAGACAGTGGGTCTCCTTGCCTAATGCCTCTAGAAGGCTTCACATAACCCAGGGCTTGACCATCAATATTAAAGGAAAAAGAAGTAGTACGAATACATTCCCATATCCAGTTCACAAATCTATCAGATAACCCTACCTTTCTATAGATTCTAATCAAGAAAGCCCACTCCACTCTATCATAAGCTTTGGCCATGTCAAGCTTGACTGCCATGTACCTCTCTCTACCTTTCCTTTTACTGTTCAGAAAGTAAACACACTCATTGGCCACAACCACATTATCTAAGATCTGCCTACCTGCAATAAAGGCTGATTGAGAAGGAGATATACATTGAGACAAAACCAGCTTAAGCCTGTTGGCAATGATCTTAGAAATAACCTTGTAAATCACTGAACACAAGCTAATAGGCCTAAACTCAGAGACATTAGTAGGGTTCAAAGTTTTGGGAATTAAAGAGATAATAGAATGGTTAATGCCTTTGGGCATTTTGCTAGACTCAAAAAAATTAAGAATTGCAGCACAGAAATGGTGTTTCACAGTATCCCAAGAGTTCTGGAAAAAGTAAGCAGTCATGCCATCAGCCCCAGGGGCTTTCTCTTTATCCATCACCATCACAGCATTTTTAATTTCCCCCTCATCTACAGTCCTGGTCAGATAATCATTCATTTGGTTTGAGATTTTACAAGCAATCCCCTCCAGATTACAAAGTTCACTGTCAGAAGATGAAGAGGAGAATAACTCATTGAAATATCTAGCCACCTCACCTACAATCTGGGTTTTGTTACTACATTTAGCACCATTCTCCATCACTAGGTTCTCTAAACTATTTCTGCTCCTCCTCTGCTTAACTGTGGCTTGGAAAAATCTAGTATTCTTATCCCCATATTTCAGCCAAGACACTCTGGCTTTTTTACTCCAAAAAATTTCTTCCTTCTGATAAGCTGAGTGCTGAATCCTCTTCCATTTATACCACTCATTCCAGTCTCTCTGACCACCCTGTTGGTTCAGGCTAGCCAGTCTATTGCTACACTCCTCAATAAGATTTCTAGAATTACAACCCTGAGAGGACTTCCATCTCAAAATGGCCATTCTAACATTCTTAATTCTTTCTTGCAAACTGAAAAGCAAAGGACCAGAGACTGGAGTGTTCCAAGCTTTCTCCACTATTTCCTCATAACCTGCCAGCTTGGTCCACCTAGAATCAAAGATGAATCTAGGTTTGACCTGGACTCTAGTACTATTACTTGACAAAACCAAAAGACTGTGGTCAGATGAGGACAAGGTAATGTGCTTAATTAGGGAGTTAGGGAACTGAAGAAGCCAATCCAGAGAGAAAAAGAATCTGTCCAGAGTAGCTTCCACAAAATGCTCCCCTTGCCTGTTATTAGCCCAAGTGAATTTATGCCCATTGATTTTAGTCTCTCCCATACCCATAGCACTCACAAAGTTTCTAAAGTTAAATTGAGCCAATTTAGAATAAAGTTGATTGAATGAAGCATTGTGATATTTTTAAATTTGTATAACAATAATACTTAAAATGAATGATTAAAGTTGATGTGATTTACTAGTATGAGAGAAGTTATTGAAATTATATGTGAGGATGTTATGTGATAGTGAATTTAAGATGATGTGATATGTGAAGATGATTGATTGATATTATATAACTATATAGATAATATTGGGGAGAGTTGAGTTGGATTTCAAAATCAGTTTTAGGTTGTAGCTAATCGCACCCTTTGTATCCTCGAAAAAATGGAGGTGGTTGTATTTGGATATAAACTGGATGAATAATAATTAGTGTAAGAATTAATATTTTTTTGAAAGAAATTATTGTGACAAAAAATATAATATTTAATTATGATGCGATAACGAAATAGGAAAAATATTAATTAATAGATGTAAATATGTGAATGAATGAACATTAAATTTTATAAATACGTGTGATAAAAACTAACTTTTAATATAATATGTGTTGGGAAAAAGTCAGCGAAATATAGTGAAAATGCGAATATAGTGAATAAATTTATTTATATATATTGAAAGAGATAGATGTTTATTTTAAAAGTGAAAAAAACGACATTTTATTTGAAAATGGCTATCAACAGTTTTTGGTATCACGTTTCCACAATAAATTAAAAAATTGAAGTTAGTCATTTATATCAATAATCCAAGTCGAGTATTTGCAGTATTTTAATATTTTACATATGAAATCATATGTTGATTAAAGGTTATGTTTCACCTTTCTCATTAAAAAACTAAAATAATGATAAAAATAAATAAATTAAGAGTTAAATAATGATAAATGTTGATATAAGCAAAAATTATTTATGATAAGATTATTTCAAAACCTTTCTAGTGAACCACAATTAAATATATAATTGTATCCTCCCTATATATTATTTCCGAATACGCTGAGCCTACGTAGCTGTTTCTTGTGCTTCGGAATCCTACTTGGCAAAGAATCATGCTTCGTAATTAGGTTTGGACAAATAATATTGATATATTAATAATTAATAATCTAGGTTCGGACATTCCATAAATATTATTTAGCTAACTTAGGTATTTTAATATAATATTTACTAATATAACCCTTTAATTCTATGTAATATTACATAGTGAGACACTAAGTGACTAATATATCCCTGACTTTTGATTTATTTCCTTCAATCAGCTATTGAATTGTTTCTTATTGGTTTTACATATATAATATATCAAATTAATTATCTTTTGATGATCTTCGATTTGACATCCATATTGTATATATGAAATAAATAAATCATATTTATATTTATAATAATAAAAAATAATAATATTTATTAAAATTCATTAGAAAAATAAA